CATCCCAGTCCTAAACTTAGCACAGAACAAAGAACTAGTATCACTATCAGCGCATTCAAATGCACGTTACTCCCACTACAATGTTTTTCTTTATAAACTGTACTGCTAAAGGCAAATTTAAAAAGTCATTATATTCTCAGTGTTCTAACAAATGACATTTCACATCTTCAATTCCTTTGCTGCATTTTTAACTCAGTTCCCATCTATACTGTGCATGTTCAATGTCAGGCCTGGGTGCTAAGATAACAAGACAGGTCTCTATGACCGGCAGAGCTCAGATACATTCACTTTTTTTTTTTTTTCATTTGTATTTTTTCCTTTTTTGAGAAGGAGTTTCACTTTTGTTGCCCAGGCTAGAGCGCGGTTCAAGCGATTCTCCTGCCTCAGCCTCCACCTCCCAAGTAGCTGGGATTGCAGGCATGCACCACCACGCCCGGCTAATTTTGTATTTTTAGTAGAGACGGGGTTTCTCCATGTTGGTCAGGCTGTTCTCAAGCTCACAACATCAGGTGATCCACCCGCTTTGGCCTCCCAAAGCTGCTGCGATTACAGGAGTGAGCCACCGCGCCTGGTCCCAGATACATTCACTTTCTGAGGTGACTTATAGTAAATTATGTAATTATGTAACTCTTTTCTTTAAGACATTTTTAAGCCAAGTAATATCATTAGTTTCAAGTGTACGAAAAGCAAACACATGAAACAAATGGTAAGAAAATTCTCCGGTGGCTCAAGCCTGTAATCCCAGCACTTTGGGAGGCCAAGGCGGGTGGATCACGAGGTCAAGAGATCGAGACCATCCTGGTCAACACGGTGAAACCCCGTCTCTACTAAAAATACAAAAAATTAGCTGGGCATGGTGGTGTGTGCCTGTAATCCCAGCTACTCAGGAGGCTGAGGCAGGAGAATTGCTTGAACCCAGGAGGCGGAGGTTGCGGTGAGCCGAGATCGTGCCATTGCACTCCAGCCTGGGTAACAAGAGCGAAACTCCGTCTCAAAAAAAAAAAAAAAAAAAAGAAAATTCTCGAATACACCAAGGATTCAAATGTGTCTTTGGTTCAAAGCAGAGGAAAACGAATGCCAACATTTATTAAATACTTCTCATTTAATTTAGGTATGATGTAAGAGGGTCAAACGCTATTAGATTTCAATTTGCTTCCTTTAATAGCTTCGTAAGAACCATATAATCTAGGTAAGAATTCTCCAGTATACCTCCCATTTGAGGATGATGGAAAAAAATGGTCTAATGAGAGAACAAAATGGTTACTACTATCTTTATTCTTAACTTCTGGATTTCATAAAAATCCAAGAATACACTGCCTTTTATACTCAAAAAGTAGCCCCTAATAAGAATAAAATGATTTTTGGACACATAACTCTTGACTATTCACTCTAGTAGTCAATCATAACCAAAGCCTTTATGAATGAACCTTTGTGACCAAAGATTAGACAGTGACTTAAACTAATGATGAGATTACTGAACTTGCAGCTGTTCTTCTCCACCACTGTTGGATATTCCCCCACTCTCCGGTCACAATGCCTGTCCCATTCTGAACACATTTGCTGATAGTGCTATTTTTACTTTACCATTATCACAGAGGGCTCTCAGTTAGAGTATGCGCTATGTGCCCAGCACAGTGCATTTACATACACCACCTCATGCAATGCCTACGGCAACCCTCATAAATAGGTATGAGCTCCATTCTGCAGAAGATCACAGTACATAAGCTAGTAACATACTTTAAACACTTCTCAAGTGCCAGCCCATGTCACAACTCACATTCCTCGCAATGATCCTATGGTCTGGCCACTACTGTGATTCTGCTTTGATGGATGAAGAGCTGGCGCATCAAGTAAACAGCTTTCCCAGGGCTGTACATATTGCACATGGCAGAGTCCAGGTCCTAACCCAGGTCCTTCTAACATTAAAGGCCACACTCTTACTCTCAGCACTGAGGAATATGGCTCTCCAGGACCACTTTCTGTCATCAGACATGAGAAGAATTGAAACAATGGACAGGAAGGGAGTCAGGGCTGGTTTGGGCAGAACCAGACCCTCCAACCCATAAGTCAGCTGATAAATCTAGCTGAAACACTCCCACGCCCAAGTTTTCCTGAAGGAACTCACTGTAAGAAAACAGAAGCCTTGCTTCAAAGCTGGCAACTCGATACCTGGAGCACGAGACCCAAATGGCAGGGTTTCTGAGTGCCCAGGGCACTAGGCATTCCAGGATAACAAGCCTTGCTCTAGACAGATGCTTCATGTCCATTCAGTGGTCATCTGTCCCTTAGTTACTGCAGCCCACTGTGTCCCTCGGCCAGAGTAGGCTCTGGACTACTGATGTTGATACTCAGACCTCTTGGTTACTCAGGTCTGTCTCAGGAGGGACTGCTGGAGTTTATGGAAAAATTGTTTTTGGACATAGTGGTGGGTATCCAGTGATGGGGGGGATTCAATTCCAAGGGCATGTGGGGAGGTTAACAAAGGCTCCCAGGGGAAGACAGTAGGAAGGCCGAGTCTGGGATCTGGGACAATGATCTGGCATCTGAGGAGGGAGGCAGGAAGCCAGGGTAAGAGGCGGTCAGCAGGAGGAAGACGTCTGGCAATCAACTGACTTGCAGCTGTCAGCTAAAGGATGGATAGAGACACTGTGAAACATAAAATTATTTTTTTTTACTTTTTAATAATAGCCATTCTGATTGTTGTGAGATGGTACCTTGTTGTGGTTTTAATTTGTATTTCTCTGATGATTAATGGAATTGAGTATTTTTTCATGTTTGTTAGCTGCTTGTATGTCTCCTTTTGAGAAGTGTCTGTGCATGTCATTTGCCCACTTTTTAATGGGGTTATCTGGTTTTTTGCTTGTTGAATCATTTAAGTTCCTTCTGCAGAGGAAAGGGAAAGCTTATAAACTGTTGGTGGGAATGTAAATTAGACACTGTGGAAAATAGTTTGGACACTTCTCAAAGAACTTAGAAGTACCATTTGACCCAGCAATTCCATTATTGGGTGTATAACTGAAGGAAAATAAATTGTCCTACCAAAAAGACACATGCATTCATATATTCATTATGGCACTATCCACAATAGTAAAATCACAGAATTAACCTAGGCATCCATCAATGGCAGACTGGATTTAAAAACTGTGGTACATACACACCATGGAATACTACACAGCCATTAAAAATGAAATCCCATCCTCTGCAGCAGCATGGACACAGCTGGAACCCATTAACCTAAGTGAATTAATTCAGGAACAGAAAACCAAATACGGTATGTTCTCACATGTAAGTAGGAGCTAAACACTGAGTACGTATGGACATAAAAATGGGAGGAAAAGGCACTGGAGATTACTGGGGGGATAACAAGAAAAACGGCTGAAAACCTATCGATAGGTTCTTTGCTGGCTACCTGGCTGATTGGATTATTTATATCCCAAACCTCAGTATCACACAACATACTCATGTAATAAAGCTGTATGTGTACCTCCTGAATTTAAAACAACAGTAGAAAATTTTTTTTTCTTTATTTTTCCGAGATGGAGTCTTGCTCTGTCACCCAGGCTGGAGTGCAGTGGCGTGATCCTGGCTCACTGCAACCTCTGCCTCCTGGATTCAAGTGATTCTCCTGCCTCAGCCTCCTGAGTAGATGGGGCTACAGCTGTGTGCCACCATGCCTGGATATTTGTGGGTTTTTCTGTATTTTTAGTAGAGATGGGTTTTCACCACATTAGAACGGACGATCTCTATCTCCTGACCTCATGATCCACCCTCCTCAGCCTCCCAAAGTGCTGGGATTACCAGCATAAGCCACCAGACCTGGCCACAACGGAAATTATTTTAAAAAATGAAATCGATGGTGCAAGAGCCACATTGGATTTACACAGAAGTTCTCAGCGTAGGGAGAAGTTCATCACTCCTGCCCACCACCCAAGATAAGGGTATTCCCCTTGCCACATGAGTCCAGGTTCTCTGTGGAACACTGGGACAACTAATGCATTCTTAATGGGAGGTAAGCGCTCTGGGCTACAAACTGACTACAAAACACCGTCAAATAAACCAAGTGCATAGGTGCGCCAGTGGCCCCCAACTCATAGATCTCATTATTTATATTAGCAAAGGCCAAGAACAAGAATAAGGCACAATATTTGCCAGAAATTATGAAATCATTTTTACTCCAATATTTTCACTCACAGGGTTAAGGCATTTAATACACACTGAACATCTGAACATTAGTATATGCATGAAGAGGAAAATAATTAAAGAATTTGCACCTAAATCTAACCAGTATTTTCTCTGGAAAGTGGCTTTCGAGTAGAAAGTCGCATTCTATGCTATCTATCTGTAACATTTATTTGTTTAAATATTTTTACATTACGTTAATAGTTGAAAAAATACATACCAGGTCCCATGCCCAGTGAGCATATTCCATAGTTGGGGAACAACAGTACACTGTTTCCGTTTTACTTATTCCCATGAGTGATTATAATTCTAACATCCCAACTGAGGAAATTCAATATCCACTGAGTGTTCAGAATTCTCAGAAAAAAAAAAAAAGCCACCGCAAGTAAACACCCAAGCATTTCAGGGCCAGTGGTGATAGTGAAGGTGGGGCAGGTGCTGGGATCAGCCTCGCAGCCAGACCAATGGCAGGGCGTCTGCCCTCCACCAGCCGACACAGAAGCTGGGGAGCCAGTTCCACAAGGATGGTTTTTGCCAACCTCCCCATTCCTGCCAGGGTGTGGAAGGTCGGCATAAAGTGTGTGTGCTTAGAACAGTGACCAGCACAGGGTAGAGTCCATAAAAGTTTGCTAAATGAATATACATAAAGGAAGTGGGGAGGAAGGGAGGGAACAAAGAGAGAAGGAGGGAAGGGAAAGTAAGAATGAAAAAGGTGGGAAAAATTAGGGAATACCTAAATTCTGCTCAACATATAAAGGATCACATTTACTTTATAACCAGATTTAGGCATGATTTTAATAATAGATTTTTAGTGTAATTACCTTTTATTTCCTTATCAGGACTTACAGACCCTTGGCAGTTTCTAATTCAAGATGTAGAAAGAACAAGAATGCTGCTCTGAATGTCCAATTTGGAGATGTCTAAAAGGAAAAAGATAAAGATTAAAAATTATGCTGGAGAATAAAAGTGATTAAAAGGTATCATTCAAAAGAAACTGATTTTCCTGGAATCACACACATTATATTTATCTAAGGATAAATTGGATTCAAAGCCTATTTCTAATTCAGCTGCTCCAAGAAACTTTAAGACTGATTCCAAAAGGAAACAAAAATCCCACCATGGGGCCAACTTCATGTATTCAACGGAAAACAAACTGAACGAAAGCTTGTGTATTGCCATCAGCCTGGGAACTCTGGCTTTGCACCGCTTCATACTCAACATCCCAGAAAGGACGTGTCAATCCTTCTAGCTCATAGAATCATGTAAGAAATGATAGAGCTTCCTCAAAAACGACTGCAAAACTGGGTAGGAAAACAGGTACACTGTCCCCCAGAAACACTGTTAATGTTTGCAAAGGGAGAAGATACCACAGGACGGGTCCAGTAGCTCATTGTGTCCTCCAGATGCAGTTCAGACCCAAGGTCACAAACAAGCACACGCTTCCGCTGGTCTTGGGCTTCTTTTTCCTGGATTGAGGACAGATCTTGACGGCCTCACAGTCCCCAATTTCAAGTATAGACTGTTTCATTACCAGGGAAAATTAACATTGACTGGGCCCAGAAACAACATGACTCCTTTTTACAAAAGGGGAGAGAAACGGAGGCTCCTGGAGGAAAGCCGCTTCTGCTGGACATGTTCTGCTTTCGCTGCACTTGGAGATACTGGGATGAGTCATGAAAGTGATAGTTATCGGGACACCTGGCGGTGCCAAAGAAAATCCTGTGTTGAAAATCTTAACTGTCTTCTCCTCCAGCATCTGCTTTTGTCAGATAGCATCCGTCCAAATGACTGCGTCTTTGTTTACTCAAAAGCAGGAGCCAACAGACAGGGAAGGAAGTGTCCTGACTGCAATAGATATCCCCTTTATTGAGATTGACTGTGTATTTTGCAGCTTAATGGGAGTAACCAACAGAAAAATATTTTAAGGAGGCACTTGGGACTCCAACAGATAATGGCTAAAAACTATTTCATTAAGATCTATGCCAGCGTCCTCAGCACTATCATCTCCTTTCTGGGGCGACGTGTAATGAATGATACTCTAAACATTTGTTAGGAAGGGTGCAAATCCTGACCTAGATTTTGTATAGCTTCAAAAAAAAAAAAATACAAAGCAAGCCTGAAAATGTCCATTTAAATAACAACTAAGATTGATACTTTCCACTCACTTTTAAAACTTTCAAAAAGCCTAGTCTCTTCTGTCCCATTACCTAACAAGGTTCAACAAGAACATAAATTAGTATTCGATTAAAATAGAAATATAAACTCCATCTTCCCTGGTTCTTTTTTATTGCTTTAATATCTAAAGTGTAACGTAGTATTTTATTTGCCTGCTGAAGTATATGGGATTTCCATAAACTCAAATTAATAAAATTATGTGCTGTTATTATTATGCTAGAGAAATATTAATTTGATTGTGACCCATAATAACAAAGCAAAAGTTTCTGAATTTTGATATTTTACAACCAATATTTTTTGTCTTAGCCAAAAATTCTATCTAAAATCTCTGTTCATTTTTTCTCATGATTTTTGCCTTATCCTTCTCACACTTTTGAAAGGGAGAAAATAGCAAAGAACTGAACACTTACTAGAATGAATTCACAGATAGAAAAGTCACTCAACTGGGATTGAGACAGGGAGTAATATTACATATGGAGAAATTCAAGACGGGATTTAACTTCCAAGTTGCCCTGTGAAATCGAAACAATCCTAATACAAATAACTCATAGCACAGATGCTTGCAACTTAGGGATGGTATAGTCATCTGCTCCAGTTGACTCATTTCACAGATGAAAAAAAGAAAGCCCAGAGTGGTTACGTGACCACTTCAAAGTCACAGAGCTAAGCCAACTCCAGATTCGAAGACTTTCTAGGTGTAAATCTAGTGCCCTGTTAGATCATAATGGATATTTAGTTTCTTAAATAACCTCTTAAGAGTTTACAATTTCATCTATTTTAGTGTAAATAAATAAAAAAAAATTCTACATAGCATGATCACATTATGAGATCTATTTTAGTGTAAATAAATAAATAAATAATTTCTACACAGCATGATCACATTATGAGTCAACTCAACTTTCAAAGTTATCAAGAGCATACTCTGCCTTTTGCCTCACTGATAAAGGTGGATTAAAATATGAATGCCCATTAGAAATCTGAAACGAAATTTGGGATATTCTTAGGTTGTCTAACCTAGATAAATCTAATACAAAAATATTAAACAGTTTCCCTGTCTTATTCATAGTCATATCATAATCATAGGTTTGATGCAACACATTTTCAAGTAGATTTACAGAATCTCTCAAGCAAAATGTAGGTATTCTATACTCAAAGCTTACATAAGCAGCTTTGAAAGTAGAATTTCAAAATGATTTAGTATTAGATCTATCAGTTCAGACTGAATTTGTATTCACTGAAACCCTAGAACCACTACAGAGCCCTTCAGTCACCCGGTTCAGCAGCTTGGTAACAACAGTCATGTGTTGACTCCCCCATTACGTACTGCTGCATAGTGCTAGGTACTGAAAAGCACCAGATGGTGTCCTGCTCACTGTGGGCTGACGACGGAGGTCACCAAGGAAGGCCTTCAGAGCAGCACTGGAGTTAAGGTTTGCACGGGATAGGAGTGTAACTGTGAGTGTGTCTTTAGAGCGGTTAGTAAATCCACAAATGGTTTTCCCGGGGAATGTGAACTGACAGATTCCTCGGAAATAAAGAGTATATATGCAAGGAAGCAAGGTAAGAGAAATGAAATCCGGCCATCAGATAACAGAAGAACTCCTCCATGCATGCCCCCCCAAAAGCACACGTGATGTGCATGCACACACAGTCAGGAAACAAAATATCCATTAAGAAAGCCTTTCTAGAAACTGTAAAAGCAACATTATTTTTTTCCTTATGTTTCTTTTTATAAACTCATTAACGATGTTAAAATTAAGTGCCAAACAACCATATTAAGAAGGAAAAAAGGACAAGATGTCCATTTCCAACACATTTCAACAAAGAAAATAAAGAAATGCCAAGTAAACACAGGAAGAGATCTTCAACATAATTAATCTAGGAAATGCAAAATAAAACCTTAATGAGATACTACTACATACCAAATAAGATGGCTAAATTTAAAAAGGCTTGAAAATATCAAGTATTTATAAGGATATGAAACAACTTGGATTTTCATACAATGACTGTTGGAAATTCAAAATGTTACAAGGACTTTGAAAAACAATTTGGCAGTTGCTTATAAAGTTAAGCACGTACCATATGACCCAGCAGTTCTACTACTAGGTATATACCTAAGAGCAATTTAAACATACAGGTTCTACACAAAGATTTGAACAAGAATGTTCACAGCAGCCTTATTCATAATAACCCCAAACTTGAAAGAATCCAAACGTCCATCAACTGGCAAATGGGTAAACAATGTGTGGTGTATCACAGGAGGGAATACTACTCAGTAATAAAAAGGAAACACTTACTGATATGTACAACAATGTAAATGAATTTCAAAAGCATTATACTATGGAAAAGAAGCTAAATACAAAAGACTACATGTACAATCCCCAAAATATGAACATTTTAGAGAAAGGCAAACTAGAGCAATAGAATGCAGATCAGTGATTGGCACGGTCAGTGTGGGGGAGGGACTGACTGCAGGGACGCCAGAAAGAACACACTGGGTGATAGAGATGTTCTATTCAGGACTGCGGCAGTGGGTGCGTAACTGACATATTTGTGAAAATACATTAAACCAGATGCTTAAAATCAGTAAATTTAGTTACATATACATTGTAACTCACAAAAGTGCTTTAAAAAACAAAACTCAGTGTCGCCATCTTTTTTTTTGTTGTTGTTGTTGTTTTAGACACAGTTTCGCTCTGTCGCCAGGCTGGAGTGCAGTGGCGCGATCTCAGCTCACTGCAACCTCCGCCTCCCGGGTTGGTACGATTCTCCTGCCTCAGCCTCCAGAGAAGCTGGGACTACAGGCGCATACCACCACTCCCAGCTAATTTTTGTATTTTTAGTAGAGACAGAGTTTCACCATGTTGGCCACGATGGTCTCAGTCTCTTGACCTCGTGATCCGCCTGTCTTGGCCTCCCAAAGTGCTGAGATTACAGGCTGAGCCACTGTACCTGCCCATCTCCATCTTTTAATATTCACAAACTTTCTCAATCAGCCCTGGGACTCCTTCAGTGGATGGTACTCAACATCTTCAAATACTTAATAAGGATTATAGCAATCGATCATGGCTAAGTAGCTGGAGACCACTAAAAAAGAAAAACCAATAGTCAATAATACCGCTTATAAGGAAACTAAATTATTCCACTTTTCTACAACTTCTAATAAGTTGTGACCTTACAATAGATTTCCAAAATGTGTTCTAATCCTATTTATTTATTCTACAGTAAATTTCTTCAATGTAAAAGGATAAACTTTCTAAATCTCTTGATAATCCATGGAGAGTGACATACAGGAGAAAGAAGATGTAGCCCAGGGCCCCTGGGTTTTCGGGTAAACACTGTGAAAGATTACCCACTTGTCCCAGTTGCACCTTGAGTTCGTGTCGGTTTTTGTTTTGTTTTGTTTTGTTTTTGAGACAGGGTTTCACTCTCATCACCCCAGCTGGAGTGCAGTGGTGTGATCTCGGCTCACTGCAACCTCCGCCTCCACAGTTCGAGTGATTCTCTTGTTGGATCCAGGGATGCTTGAGTTGAAGATGAACTCTGACAAACTATCCTCATCACCCTACTAAAAACCCTGCCTGGGGAGGAGTTTATGTGCAATTTTCACTACATATAACGTACGTAGAAGCATGACCATATGTAGGCGCTTGATCTTACGTAGAAGCTGAATATGTAGAAACATGACCAGCAGCTTTGCCTGCACTGCCTTTACGTCTTCATACAAAGACAGCTAACCAGCCTA